CAGCATGGCTGGCTGGGGAATTCTGGGAGTTGAAGTCCACTCATCTTAAAGTGGCCAAGTTTGGACAACACTGTTCTTAAAGAAGAAGATGGTGCCTTGTTGTCAGCTGCTGATAGGAGATTCTCACTTGATTAGACTTCACCGTCAATGTTGGTTTCTAGAGCTGAATTACTAAGCATGAAAATTTATCAAAATGTGGTATGCCTTTATAACATTGATGAACAAAATATTACTAGCCTTCAATGACTCAGTGAATATTAGTGAAATTAATTAACAATTAATACATAGCCAGAAACTTTAAGGGCAGTCCTATGTAATATGATGCATTTTAGATATGTGAGACATAGCTGAGGGAGTTGGTCCAACACAAGAAGACCATCAGATTGGGAATGGTTGCTAGTTATTGTTAAATATTTAGGCGTGCTAGTGCTTACAATCCAAGGGAATGAAACTATTTTCTACTTTGCTCAGTGTTATTTTGCACAGTTCAAATCTTTTTATTATTAAAGTTAGGGATGTTTCAGCCTATTCGATTTTTACAGGCGTTTATTAACTTTATTTAAATAAATTACATACAATAAACCATTAAGAAAAACAAAAGAAAATGCAAGAAAAGCAAGTATTTTTAATTGCAAATACTCTTGTTCATTTTTACAAATTTCATGTTACTACATTTGTTGAAGAATTCTATTATGAATCCCTGAGAAGCCCAGGTAGCATTTTCCTGCATTTGTCAATTTTATTCTTGATAACAAATGCATTATTTTGTCAGGCCTTTGGTCTTAGAAACATCACCTGTTTACACTCTGTAATATAATACATGGTTATGCTTTAGTGATGCATTGTAATTTGTGTGTGTGTTTTTAATCGAGACATTGTCTTCTCCTAGGTTCTACTGAATAGGTAAAATGCTTACTGTATCAGTATTTGGCAGGGCCCTGGCAGCGGCCTTCTCTGTTGTGGCGCCTGTGCTGTGGAATCTTCTCCCCGCTGAGGTGAGACTGGCCTCGTCATTGTTGAGCTTCCGGAGGTCCCTTAAGACTTGGTTATGCCCGCAGGCCTGGAGACCCCAGGGGACAGGGGAATTAGTGAGGTGGCTCCCTTATTTTTAACTTATTTTTATTTTGTTTTATATATTTTTACTGTATTTTACTGTTTTTAGCTTTGTTTTATGCCACCCAGAGTCGCCTGTGGTGAGATGGGCAGCTATATAAATGGGTTTATATAAATAATTTAATAAACAATAAATAAGCAAACATCTGGACCTGTTCATAAAAGAAAATGTTTGTCATCCCCAGGCTAATAAGTAATGTTTAGCCTTATCTGTGTCACCATTCTGCTAGAAATTTCCAGTGCTTTCTCCAGCAAGCACTGGAACAAAGAGCCCAGGGTCTCCTCAGAGAAATCAGGGAAGAGGAGAAGATTCATTAAATGGAAAAATTCAAACCTTCTAGCCTTCTGGTTAAAAATGAAAGAGGCTGGCCATGTTTTTTTATCCCATTTGGGAGCTTTGTTTGGAACAGCTGGTCACCATTGGAAAAGACACTGGCCTTACTACATTTTGTTTTGTACATGCACAGTTTTAATTGATGTATGAATTTTATGAAGTTATATGAAATAATTTGAATGATTTGAAGTTGGGGGAGACTCTGGTCACTCCTCTGTCATGATCATATGACTCTCTGTCGGCCCTGGAGTTCCCTGGTGCTTCCTGCCGCTTCAGGGAGGCTGGATCTATTTGATAGGTCCTCCCAAGGCACATGATGGACCCAGTAGGGTTAGGGTTAGTTTTACTGAAATATTTGTATCACGTTTGTATTAATGGTTATTCGTTGTTTTTATCATGGCTGCTGATTGTGTATTTTATTTTTTATTTTTTGCTGTTTTATTCAATTATTGTTAGCCACCCAGAGTCACTTGTGTCAGATGAGCAGCCATTTAGATTAAATAAATAAATAAATTACAGAAACACATTGATTTTAATTGCGTATCAGCCCTACACCAGATGGCTTGTTTTAGGCATAATGTAATCCAGCATTCAGAACAGCAAATTTAGATACTAGTAGGGTCAGCGGCACATATATTTTGATAAAATTGAAGGTTACAGCAGTTCTATTTTTGAGATGTTGATTGACAAGCTAGAATCACAATCTCTTCTGTGCTGAAAAAATTATATGTGTACCCTGGGTTTTATTTTAGAATGCTGGGACGATCCCAGCCACGAGTCATCCCAGCAGCTGATTAGCAAGCAGAGCCTTTTGCTCCTGCAGATGTCAGAAAGGGTCCATAGCTCCAGGCAGAAAGTTTCTGCTCACCTGGAGGGCTGTCTTTTTTCCTGATTACAGCCTCTTTTGTTCTGCTGCAGTCCTTGGAAGCTAAATGTATCTAACTTTGTTCAGGGTTACAACTAAAGGCTTTTATTAATTCACAGATAAACCATATATAATAAAATAATTGGAAACATCTGTGGCTTCTTTTCATGTTGGATGGGATATCGTTGTTGCAATATGCCATACTGCACAAATCTACAGAATAAACAGGACTGTGTTTAATGGACTCACATGGGGGAAACAGTATTTTACTCTTTTATTAGGCCAATAACCAAGTATACACACAGCTTTATGTCAGTGAATCCTAGTGTAAGTTACCATCCTAAGTGCAGCCACTACCTTATGAGTTGATGTGCACATTAATTCATAGCTAGATATCATATGTCCAAGGATTTGTGTGTCTTTGGGAACAGATATTAATTCTGATAGTCATTACCAATTCTGTAATTACAAATATTGATAAGTGGAGCTCTTGTAGCTGTACTTCCATGCAGCAATCCTATTAAAGAGCAGATGCTGTTGAAAGAAATAACCCCCTAAATGGTGGTGGTGATGATGGTGGTGGTGGTGATGATGATGATAATAATTTGGACTCTAGAAAGCAAACCATATACTTCCATTTAAATCATGCAGTAGAAACTTTCTGGACACCTGCCCTCACTCCATATGGGTTTATTCCTCTCCACATCACTATGAGATCATGGCAAAATTTAATTTTAGTTTGAACCACTAAATCTGGGCAGTCTTCCATTTCCACAGGAGTGCTTGTATTAGTCTGCAAACATCCTCCAATTTGTGAAAAGAACCAATATTAACCAGCATGTCTCATTTTGGGATCCTTAAATGCATTTTGGACTACAACCTTATCAGCTAGAATCAGTACAACCATTGAAGATGCTTGGCTATGGAAGCTGTCATTTAATACCTCTGGAAGATACCATGCTACCAAGATAGGAATACATGTATCTGGCCATTGGTGTTGGAAACAATGTTTAATTTGGTGCTGGAAGCAATGCTTAATTTGGTGCTGGAAACAATGCTTAATTTGATTAAATATGCTTTACTGGGGGAAGCAGAACTATTTTTGTTGCTCAAGAAGATAGAAAGCTTACTTACCCCAAATTGAAACATTAGGCAATTTAATTCTGTATACTGACAGGCAGTATTTATCCAGTTTTAAGATTGGCATTGTTTCCTCAGACTTATATAGGGATGCTAGGAATTGAATCTGAGCCCTTCTGCATGTAAAATGTAACCTACAGCTCTTCTGCTGTAGAACGGTAGAAATAAATTATATAATGTGATTACAATTATGCTGAATCTACACATGACAATTTATTGCTAAGGTTTAACTCAGTGAAAGAGCATAAGCTTTGTGTGCAGGTTAAAGGGATAAAGTAGGTGAAGGAAAGACCAGGGAGTGTTGCTGATAGTCATAATATAGACCAGTGTTTCTCAATCTCAGCAACTTTAAGATGTGTCGATTTCAACTCCCAGAATTCCCTACCCAGCATACTGAGTGGGGAATTTTGGGAATTGAAGTCCACACATCTTAAAGTTGCTGAGGTTGAGAAGCACTGATGTAGCCATTATTGTCAGGGCTGATGTTATTTTTTGGCAACAGACAATGTTTCATGAAATGACAATGGTGTACAAACAGGAAGATAATTTAAAACCCCACCAGCAGATCTCTTTTTCCAAGAGTTTCCTAACAGAAGATACTTAGAACAGACTGCTGCTAACTGGGCTGAATCTTTTGGTGTACCCTAAACTAGGTATGGAGTTTGTGGCCCTTCTATCAGGGATCTCTGACTAGAGTTCATCCCTTGGAAAAATAGATAGAAAAGTGCTTCAAATCTTCCTGCCTAAAATCTAGAACCAAAGAATGTAATTAACCTTGTGCCAATTCTGAAATACAAAGAACTATGTAACTATGCAATCTTACATGTGGAGAAGATTTGAGGGACAAATTTTCCTTATTAAGCCAATTAAGTCAAAAGGAGTTTATTGGGGAAAAGGGACTAGGGGAAAAACAAGGGAGAACAACAGTCATGCACACAGGTTTCCAAATGAAATTCATGCAGTAAGTCTAGCTAAACAACCCACTTCCTCTTTGAATAAGCTTTTGAATTTCAGCACATGTTCAGAAGTCATTGCAGAGAATGAATGGAGCAAGATAGCTTTGGTTTCCAGCCAGCAGACTGGAACACACACTCCTAGCATTCCTCAGCTTTATAGAATATGGAGGATAAGTGAGAACCATTTCTTTGAGGAGGCTGTGCTTTGCCCAATCAAGGAAAATGCTCCATCACTGAAAGCATGGGTCTAGCCAGAAACTGCTTAGTAGCTAAACCCCATTTCCTAATGACCCTTGGTGGAATGCTAAAGCCACCATCCAGTTTTCACCAGTGGTACCATTGTGTAACTGGGATTGCATAAGATACTTTTCTGGGAAACAAAAGCTGAATTCCATTTATTCGGGCCTCTCAGCATGGGGTCAATTTGCCAAATGTTTTTAGGGGTATTGTTGTGCATTTCTAAAGCTGGGGGAGAGGGGGACAACTTTGTAATTAGTAGTAGTAGTAGTAGTAGTAGTGTATCTTTATTATGGTCTTTGACCAGCATTACAAATAAGAAATAAAATAGATTGCCTCAGAAAAGTCATTACCAAAAAAAAAAAAAAAGTAATCAAATTAAGAGAGCAACACATGTAAGCCAAAGCTTTGTGCAGTTGTATGGCTCAATAAAGTTGTTTTGCAACCTAAAGTTTACGTGAAGAGTTAACATTCCATAAAAAATAACAAGCATAGAAGTTGTCTATATGACATTCGATTTGGAAGTAGCAGAGAGAGCAAAGTAAGCAATAGTGGGATATCATATAAGTGACACTAAGGAAAACATGGGCAAGAGTTATTTCCTAAGAGATAGGCAAAATCTCTGAGAATAAAGGAGCCTCATGAAATCTACCCACCAACAGGGCAGAAGGAAGAGCATTAATATGGGTTGTAGAAAAGCCCATCTATGTTTGCTCAGGGTTAGATTGTGTAAATAGCCTGCAATACAGGGCTTGTGAGAATCTAATATTTGGCGATAAAATTCAGGAACACTAGCGAGTTCCTTCTGATGATCAATATTCCCAGTTCCTTCCTTTACCATTGATTTGGCTTCCACAAACATTAATTGGCCTATGTATTCAGGAGAGAGGCCAAGATTACATAATTCCTCCATGCAAACTTGATACCAGTGAGATTGGTAGCTGTCTGTCAACAGCAGAGGTAACTTTCCCTGTAGGATCAAACATGATTCTGAGCCAGGAGGTGAGGATCCTGATCCAAGCTTTAGCCTTAATGGTTGGGACATTAGCTTCAAGCCTAAAAACTGCATTAGGGAGACATTTTGGAGAACCAGAACCCTAAGGAAGCTTGATTGGATGGTTTAATATGTCTTTATGCTTGTAAATGGGCCAAGTAGTTCAGTCGTTGAGCAACTATTTTAGTCGTAAAAAATTTAATCGCTGCTTGAATGTAATTTGCTCCTTGTTATCTGTAAAATTTGGTTATAGCTAATGCATTCTTTTGAGCTGTAGAAATGACACAACTAACCTAAGCTACTACTTTCCTAGAAGCCTGAAAGACTATGCCCAAATATTTAAAATATTGAACTTGCTCCAGTATGTGAGAGTCAATCATCCACTCCATTTATTGGAGAATACTAAAAGTTTAGATTTATCATAATTAATAATGAATTGTTCCTCTTCACTGTAGGATGCCAGGATTCTTAGAGCCCATCTGTACATAAAACAAGGAGAAGAGGACTGTACCATCTGCATAAAGTAGGATTTGAAGGTATCTATCAGCTAATTTGGGTGCATGGATGTTGACTCTTAGAAGAGTTTTAATCAGAAAATTAATGTATATATTAAAAAGCAATGGGGTTAAAATACCTCTTACTTCACCTTCTTAAACAAAAAAATCTGAAAGATCTCCCCACTTACATCTTATCCTGAAGCCATTTTTTCATATAACTTACAAATGTCCCAAAGTCTTATCTTGCAGATGCTATATTATTTTGTTTTATTCATTCATTCATTTGTTCATTCATTCCTACTAGGCAAGGGAAGAGGTACTTCTCTCTCACGTACCAAAAGGGTTTCCCTTTTGGGGGATGGTGCTCCGTGGTGCTATGCCTTGATCTGGCCCTGAATGCTGGGCAGAATGTAGACAGGAGTAGACAAGACAGGCAATCCTGGGTCAGAGAGACAAATGACCTGATGTGATAAGAGGCACATACTGCAACAGTACTTCTTTGTTTTTACAAAAGTATAGTAACCCTACTAGTAGCTTCACTGATAATGATTATTATCACACGTGGGTACTCTGCTTTAGGAATTTGCCCTTGCTGCTATTTCCGTTTTGTTCCATGCTGTTTTATTGCTATTCTGTTCTGTTTTTCCTTATTTTAACTACCATAAGCCTGTATGAACACTTTTAAAGCCCGAGAAAACAATAACTGTGTATTGTGGCTAGATGGCAGCAAAAGCACATTCGAAGTCATACAAAGGTCAGCTTTGTAACTTCTTGAAGATGTGCCCCTCCCAGCCTCCCGATAATATGCGATCAAAGGTAAATCACTTTTCTCTTTTAAGTTTTATTAAAATAAAAATTGAAACCAAGGTGTTGCATAAAATCTATAACGCAAACATTGGAATGGGAATAGCAGTAAACAAGGAAGCTTGGCAATGTAATCTGGAAAAATAAGATATTAGGAGGAAAATGTAGTACACAAGGACTGTAACAGAAAAAAAAGGTAATCATACTTCCACAATTGTGTCTTTGTGATGTATAATTTGTAATATAAATTACCTTTTATAATATCGTGTGTTGATTTTTTTTAGAGAACCAAGTTCCATAGCTCTCACATACAGTGTGTCTGTGTGTGTGTTTCTATTATTTGTTGGAGTTGGGTGGCCAATAAATTTAAATAATATCAATAACAATAATGATTTACCCTATCAAGTTAATGTTGATTTTGCATGGAAAGTATTAGAACTGGAACTACTTTAAAAGCTGCCCCATGGGGGGGCAGAAAGAAACGCAAGTCAAAATAGGCAAGGAAGTAGTGAAAGAACACCTACCTGTAGCTGATTTGAATGAATTCAGGTCATCAGAGCTGGATGGATTACATCCCAGGGTGCTAAAGGAGCAGGCAGATGTGATCTCAGAGCTACTGGATATAATCTTTGAGAACTTCTGGAATACAGGGGAAATGCCAAAAGATTGGTGAAGGGTTAACATGGACCCAGGAAATTATAACCCAATTAACTTGACATCAATACCTGGGAAAATCCTAGAAAAGATCAAGCAGTGGGTTTGCAAACACTTAGAAAGGAGCGAAGTGATTACTAGAAGCCAATATGGGCTTGTTCATACCAAAATCTTATGGGTTTTTTTTTTTTTTAACAAAGTGACAACTTTAGTAGTTACAGGGAATACTGTAGATAGAGTGTATCTAAACTTCAGTAAGTCATTTGATAAAGTTATCTTAGCCTCCTTCTTGATAAAATGGAACAATGGGTAATGTGTGGTCCCACTACCAGATGGATTGGCAATTGGTTGAACAACCATATCCAGAACATGGTTTTTAATGGATCTTTGTCTGTGTGGAGAGAATTATGCAGTGGGGCCCCTTAGGGTTCTGTCTGGACCAAGTGTTCTTCAACACTTTTATAGAGACTTAGATGAGGGGATAGAAGAGATGCCCAGAAACAAAGCTGAGAGGGATTGCTAACAGTTCAGATGACAGGTTCAAAGCTCAGAAGAATGTTGAGAGATGAATATTGTCCCAACAAAATGCAATTCACTAAAGAGAAATGGAGGGTTCTGCACCTAGGTAGAAAATATCAGAGGTGTAGGTTCAAGCTAGGTGGTAGCTGGCTCAGCAGTAGTACTTGTGAGAAGGATGCAGGTATCCTGGTAGAGGGCAGATTAAGCATGGGCTAGCAGTGTGCTGCAGCTGCCAAAAGAGCCAATGCAACCTCAGGGTGCATCAATAAAGGTATAATGTTGAAATCATGGGAAGTTATACAGGTAGTCCTTGGTTAACAACCGCTCATTCAGTGACTGTTCAAAGTTGCGACGGCACCGAACAAGTGGTACTTATAACTGGTCCTTGACGTTCTGGCTGTTGCAGTGCCCCTGCGGTCACATGATCGAAATTTGGGCACTTGGCAACTGCTTGCACTTATGACAGTTGCAGTGTCCCGTGGTCATGTGATTGCCATTTGCAACCTTTCCTCCTGGTTTCCCACAAGGAAAGTCAATGGGGAAGCCAGCAGGGAAGGTCACAAGTCGCTCTGGTAAGTCCCCCGGGCCTTCCTGTGCTTGCACTGCATTGCTCCATCCATCCCCTGGCCTTCCTGTGCTCACATCGTACTGTGCTGTCCACCCTTTGGCCTTCCTGCGCTTCCACCCTGCTATGCTGTCCATCCCCTGGCCTTCTTGCCCTTGCTCCCTGCCGTGTCATCCATTCCCCAGCCTTCCTGTGCTTGCGCCACACCTCCAACCCCCCAGCCTTCCTGCACTCACACACAGCCTGCACCAGGCCCCCCACAGCACCCCCCACCTCCCTGCGGCAGCCCCATACTCCTTACCTAGGATTCCTACCGCTTCCCACTTAATGGCCTGCACGTCTTGGGTTTACAATGGCATCCAGGATGTACGGGATTGCTGTCGCTAAGCGATGCAGTCATGTGATGTCCTGCTTTATGACCACATTGCTTGGTGACAGCAATCCTGGTCCTAATTGCTGTCGTAACCCAAGGACTTCCTGTAGTTTTGCTCTATGCTGCACTGATGAGACTGCACCTGGAATACCATGTCTGGTTTTGGTTGCCACAATGCAAGAAGGAGCTGGAAAGAGTGTAGAGAAGAGCAACAGAGATGACAAAGGGCTTGGAGGCTGAATGCCACGAAGAATAGTTCAAAGAACTAGGTAAGTTTAGCTTTAAAAAAGAGAAGACTAAGAGCAGACATAATAGGAGTCTTTCAGTAGTTGAAGGACTGTCAGATGGAAGAGAAGTGCCTTATTCTCCATAGTACCTGAGGGTAGCACAATAACCATTGAGTGGAAAATTTACAAAAGACCCAAACTTGAAATAATGAATTTCCTGGCCGTGAGAGCTATTGAACAGCCTGCCTCCTGGAGCTGTGAGTGCTCTATCATTGGTGATTTTCAAGCAAAAGTCAGAGAGCCATTTGTCAGGCATGGTCTGGGGATTCCTCCTCGGGGCAGGGGGTTGGACTAAATGACCTCCAAGATCCCTTCAAACTGTATTTACTGGAAGATAAATGTGCTTAAGTCCATTAAAGACACTAACTTAATGTCAATTTTCTCCTGCATTATTATTTCTGTAATCACATATCTCGGACTGAAGATCCGTTGAATTTTTGAATAAATGTGCAGTGGCAAAGATTGTGAAACATGTTGTTCTACTTAAGGTACTGGATGAATGGATATACAGTTTTTCCTAAATCCTCAGGAACCCTGCCCCACTTTGCCTCCTCCAAAAGCCTCTTATGGTAGGATGGAAATACAAGGATTTGCTGGGCTGCAGCAGGAATGCTGTAGCCCTTTCCCCAATGCAAGCAGCCTTCTGAATCCCAGACTATCATTCTGAAGAAGGAAGATTTGCTCAGGTGCATGAATGCTTAGAAAATTCTTCTACACATTTAAATCATAAATTATTTTATTGCTTGGGAGGAAGAGAAAGGATATTTAGGACAAGTTTTTTTCTATGTTGAACCAGTTAAATAATTTCAGTGTTGTTATTAATTTGCCTATTCAGACTTAAATATTTTAAAGTCCAAAGGAAAGTTATGCGCATTCCAAATCCACTGATTTTGGTAGATTGCTTACTTTTTATCTGTTGTTAATTAATATTAATTAATTTCCTGGAAAGTGTAGGACTGCATTAACTAAAATATGGTGTTTTCTAAATAGAACAAAAGGGTAATATGGATTCTGATACATTATAGCACAGTTTAACAAACATTACTTGTGGAAACAATGGAATGAGATTAGTCTCAACTCATTTATATTGGACAGTACCCATTCACAAAGATACTTTTTTTTCAAAACTCTTTTCCTCACTTCTATTCAACTCTTCAAAGTTTTTTTTTTTTTTTTAAAGTAAAATCCTTACTGGAAGGAAGAAGCCTGTATCCTGAATCAGGCTGTGAACTGAAGGCCTGGTCTAATTAGATTACTGTACATTCAATCAGATCCTCGCTCCTGGTGGCCTGCTGTTTGCATAGGGCGCTAACTTATTGTGCTGCAGGATTTAGGACAATTTGACTGAAAACAGGGAGGAAAAAGAGTCTCAAAATCCTTTTAATCTTTTTTCAGGGGAGCATAGCGCATCAGTTCTTGGGGATTTGTTTTTGCCATTAAATAATGCTTCAAAGATGAAAGGCATGCAAAACTGTTAATGCATACAAGTATGCCTATAAATTTACTGCTGGATTAGGGTGTCCTAATAGAGATAATATTTTAAAACCCAGACTTAATTGTCATTATAAATAAAAAAGTAAGTGTAGCCCTTGTTGGATTCCCAATGATTTTATTATTCCTTCCCCATCCCCCCTGCCCCAACCCCATTAAATTAGCTATTCATATATATTCCTTTCCAAAACTGCTGTGGAGTGTTGCTATGTGTCTGGACTCAACATGTTTAAACTCTGCTCAGCCCATCCTAAACTAATTTGAGTCAATTTGTCTACATCATCTCAACAATCGTTCTCCACATTTTGAATCGGGCAAACAAATATGTACCAGGCAGATTCCAACT